TATTGCCATGAAACTTTGTAAGCAGTCTTATAATTTAATAAGCTTTGGTCATACCAAGTTTCATTAAGATTGGTAAACTTTTTCTACCCTATTAGGTCCGGGTACACAGTTATCGTCCTTTGATTTTCGTTGTCCACGAATATAGTCCCTAGTGTGGACAGTGTGTTACTTGTCGATTTTTTTTATACCCCTTCCAAATTTATTTCTCCATGTTTTATGACTCAAATAGTAAGAAGGGGGGTGAAATGACACTGTAAAAAAATTTGGGTCATGAATTTTAAAGTAAAGTAGTGATTTGGTCCAGCTGAAAAATGTTAAAAATTAGCACTTCGGAAGCTGTCAAAAGATTTGAAGACCCCCTTAACATGAAAATGTCCATATTTTGAGTTAGAGCCGATGAAGTTTTCTATAGTTTTGATATAATTTGTCCCAAAAGTAGTACAACACACTGTAAAAATATTATTGAGAAAGCGCAGGTGGGATTTTTTTAATTTTCATTTATTGTCTAAAAGAAATGCACTACGAAATAACTGTGTACTCGGACCACATACATACGTACTGCGCATACAGTCCTTTGCTGGCTTTTTATGCATATATAATATGAACATGATAAAGATATAAAAATTCAAATAAAAACTTTGTTGTGCGTCCGATGCACTGTTCTGATTAATTTCCCATAGAAACTCTCGAAACCAAATATTTGAAAGCAAAGGATGTATATGAACCGAAATATGTGTAGAACAGTATGACCAAAAGGGACCGTAAATATTAACCTATAATTCATTATATTATTTTCTGTATTCTATTTAAACCATCCACTGATTCATAGCAATTTTGTTTTTCATCAGTATACTCCACTGACTAAACTTCTCTTCATAACAAAATATCATAGCAGCAATTACTATAAATAACAAATAAGTCTGGTTATGATATCTATGGTTTTTTTTGTTCTTTGCAATTTACTTACGAAGCATGTTAAGCCGATTTTAAGGTGGATTTCACATAGAAATATATTTTCAAACTATTAAAAAAATAATATTTAATTATGTTTTGAATTGTTCTCATTAGTTTCGAAAGAAAATTGTGAGGTTGAACAATTCGACCTTTGCCTAAAAAATATAATTTATTCATAGTATCAATTCCTTAGAGTTAGTCATCATTATGTTATATCTTTTATATGCTCAGCATTGGAAGAAGATGGACGACTTCAATGTTTTATATTATTGGTGGATGCTCTGGGATTATCGTAGGCATATTACAAGCCTTAGGTAGTGTAAAATTATTTGAATTTTCCTTTAAATATAAAAACTAAACAGGTGAATAATACATAAAAAAGGACAATATGATAACCCTAAATTTTGTACAGTACAACATATCAACACCCGATCTTTTCGAAAAAAAAATAGACCTTAAAAAAAAACAAAAGACAACACAAGATTTAGATTGCCTTGGCGCAGGTTCAGAATGAGGAGGGGATAAACCAGCTGTTCGCAAACGAATCTCATATTTACCAATTAAATCTAGACATGATTATATTAAAGAAAAATACACAATTAAAAAATGACCAAAATTAAGCAGAATGACCACTACCATGAAAACAAAAATGTTGAAAATGAAGGTCAAGTTGAAGTTGACGTGAACAAATATATCAATTTACACTTGTGCGTAACCAAAACAATCAAACTACTAGATTTGTAATTGTGAGCAATTACGGATGGCACCCTCATATCCCCCCCCCCCCCAATTGCTAGGGTAACGGCAGCCATTTTGAAAATTCCAAAGTCAAAGTGCGCATCTACACATGCCAATTAACATTTTAATAAAGTTTCAATAAGTTTGGAGTATTTTGAAATTTTGGACATTTTTGCTGTTTCCATGGTAACGGCGGCCATTTTGAAAATTCCATACCCCTAAATAAATAAATCTGCACATGCTGGTTAACATTATTGTATAGTTCCATTAACATTGGTTTATAAAATTCTGAAATATAAGCTGGACAAAAAAGTGGAAGAAAAAAAAAACATGTAATAAGAAAAAAAGAAACGTACAATAACAATATGTCACCCCAACTCCGATGAGGGTGCCATAATAAGTGAAAACATAGTAATACGCTACTTATTTTTCTTTCCAAACAAAAGCGTTAATGTAAAAAATTATTTTGCATAACGGAAATTTACTTCATGTTTTTATATTACAGACATAGAAAATAAGGAAACATTCGTAATAGTTTTTGCACTTCCCTCAAAAGCATTTGTGACTGCCGGCTGGGTATCTGTCATGCTGATATCGGCTGAAATATATCCAACTGTAGTAAGGTAAAACTGATTCAATGTTAGATGTGATAACACTTAGATGTGGATAATATTCAATGATGGTGACCCAAACAAAACAAAAACAAACGGTATTAACTACCTTATTACACTTAAACAAGTCTATAACTCATCTATAATCCGATATATTTTCTACGAAATGCGTTAAACAAATGACTGAAATGCCGTGAACTAAATTCCACAATGAGAACTACAACTTTAAAATACTAATGGGTCTGCCTTATGCTCCAAAAAAAATCTTTGTCAAAATTATCAACATGTTTTTCAGAAGCAATCGAAACCGGGCTTCAAATTTACGCTACATGTAGGACGAAAGATGACCATAGCCGAAAACCTACAGAATTGGTGACCGTGAACTCGTTGCGAAACAGATTTGTTTAATTTAATTTGCAACTCCCTGTAATCGCAATTAGCAGAAAAATCAATTGAAAAGTAACATTTTTTTTTTTGTTTAATTAAAACATATTTAACAAAATTGTAAGACAAAGAATTTTATTTCTAAAGTAGTGCCAGCACTTCTACAATTAATAATTAGATGGCGTCATTAATAAACTTATACCATAATGTTTTATTATATAGTATCAAATACTTCATGCATCATGTGCCGATATTTTTACTGGTTTTCTTTTATAAAGATACTTTAGAGTAGAGCGTTCTCTGTGGATTACATATATTTCATAATAACCGATTTTGCATTCAAGACGTTCTACTTAAAGTTTATTACGCGCTAATTACATGCAACAAATCGCGATATAAACAAGCTGGCGGAAATATACCGTATTAGATCTACACGAATTTGACGAAGTGTCAACAATGTGGCTGAAATATTTGGTACTATTTTATCATTTATATTGAGGAATATATGTTCAATAGCTCTTTTACAAGATACCATATTTTTTTAGAAACATTGGTTGCGGTTTGCTTAGTGCAACATCTGGGATTGGGATAATGGTAGCACCAATTGTGAATTTTGCTGTAGGTGGTATTTAACATTTTGCATTATCATTATCAATGAGTTAAAGATGGTCACTACTCTTGTTTTTGACTATTTTTCAGATATTCAGAATCCTCAAGTTTTATCCATGAAGTGCCAATAAAAAAATTGCCCGCTAACCCCCTACTTTTCTTTTCATAATTTACATAAAGTATAAAAAGCAATTTTTGAAAATCCTATAAAATCCTTGTTTTTGTCATAGTTTTTGAAAGAAAAAAGGTGTCAATCATAAATGTATAAGAAATCTAAAGAGAATAATTTCCCGCCAAATTTTCAATTGATCATATTTCAAAAATAAAGACACAGAACTGTTTTATTCCTAACGTTTATGTCCCGTTATTGATATACTATCAATTTATAACAGTCAATTTAAAGGCTTGTTATTTTGAAACATAGGAGCGAACATCCTTAAATGAATTTTATTATGAATTTTGAACTATATTTAGTTACAGTATCTATATGCAGTTTACATCCTATCTTCCACTGACACATATTGTATATTGACAAGCGCAGTGGGTCAAAGGATACATTTATGTTGCATTATGATATTACCGAAACTTGACAGTAAGTTTATGAAAAGTATGGGAAACGTGCATGAAAATTAAAGTCTTAAGCCTTCAATGTTTCTGTGTTCAAAATCAGAATATTGTACTTGATGTGTTTCTTTTGGATAAAATACTAAAATATAAAATATAAATATAATCAGAAAATAAACTTCAGATTGACGGTAAGCTCTACTGTTAAACACTTTTAAAGATTAAGAATAAATGTTTTAAAGAACTCTTTTCATTTGTGTTTATCAACAGTTCTGTCATCTTTTACAATTGAACTAACCACCAATTTAACCCTGTGCACCATTATTTATTTTCAAGATATTTAAGAAAAACTCTTTCACATTCCAGTGGATTTAATGCACCTTGTCAAGGTTTGAAAAGAGCTTCATGTATTAAAATTCTATCGAATTCATATTATCAATAAACTGTTATGAACTAAGATGTATTCGGCTATAGGTCAGTACGACGTAATATCCTACTTCATCTAGTGAGATTTTTTACCACCCAGGTCACTAACTCAAATATTTTTAGTCATTTTTATTTTGATTAAAGTGTCCCCAATGTATACAACGTAAATAGCATGTCAAAGTAATGATATACAATTGTTTCGCACTTTCACATTCTAATCAGAAAATGACATTTGAAAAGTGTGTGCGCATTTTGTGTAAAAATGCAAAGATGGATGATGGTTTATTGTCATTGCTTCTACATAATAGATATAACTTGAATTATGCTAAACCTTAATTAACATATATTATTATATGACACCGTGCAACCTGTACATATTGCTCTAGAAATGCATTTTTGTAAATTTCCTTTTTTTTTTTAACACTCAAATTGATTCTTTATTGCACATATTGCTGTTTTAACAATAAAACTTGGTGTACAGCATTCCATCAAGTCTCCCTGCTAAATTTACTACTAAATATCCAGGGAGAATATTCAGTAGAATTAACAATAAATAACATTGGTATAAATATCTGAATAAATAAATTACTGTTACAGACAGTCTTTATTAATACAAAATTTGTATATTATTTATATTTATAATAATATCTGTAATATTCCAATATCTATAATTACACAAGTTTGTCAGTATTTTTACGGAAATTATTATTTACTCCGGAATTGATTTTTTATACTATCTGTAATGTATCAGAAACGAAATGCGGTCAGTGACCTCGCACGTTTTTTTTTTCAATCTTTCAATTTTGAGAATACATAATTTTCAATCCTGGTGTTTGGATATATTATTTAATGTTTTGAAAATTTGGAATAATGATTCGAAAAGGTAAGTTGTTGTACTAATATAATTTTGTGTTTACAACTTAATTATTAAATAGATTCGTTATTGATTTGACCCAAATAAATATTGTGTCGTGACCTTTACCTATCAAATGTTTGTAAACATTTAAAACATTGGGTACATAGTACAGCACCAATATATTCAAAGATCACACACACGCCTACATATACCAATTCATCTGAATTATCCACAGGAACATACTTTGGTACATGCATACTTTTGCAATTACAACATTGTACAATGAATGTACAACATCACATGCCTATGCTTTTTTCTACATGTATGTTTAACAAAAATACTTTCTGTAGCTCTATTAATAATACCAGCTTAATTTTATAAAATTACATCAATTTCTGCTCAGAGTATAGAGCCCTTTTTTTAGTAAACTATTTGATACATACATTTCATACTGTTTTATTTTGTACTCATTTCTTCATATCAGAGGTGAATTATTAAGCTAGTCCAAACAATTATGAGTCTCAAATGATCAACCCAATCACTTTTCCTTGACACCTTCCTACGACGTAGGTAAATCTCACAGAAAAAGTAACTGAATTAGCCTTTTTTTGTAAATTTCGAAAATTTTACCTCAACAATGTGTCGCTGAATGGAATGTAGACCGTAGGCACGTTTTCACTTTGAACATAGAATTATGTTGTATTAACAACTCCTTCTATGAGAGCAACCATTTAACTTCAAAGGGGGTATGGTTTTTTGTCTGAGTCAGAAATTAGTTTTTTTTTTTAGTTTTTCGACGTTATCAATCAAATCATTTTTTTCAAAATTTAACACTTTAAGGTATGGGGAAAATCTGGATTCAGAATACTTTTTTTTTGTCATCTGCTTTTCATTTTTTTTCATCAAAATGGGGGTCAGAATATTTTTAAAGGAAAAAAACCATAACTCCCCCCCCCCACCCCCCCCCCCCCCCCCCCCCACCCCACCCAACCCTTTTGAAGTTAAATGGTCGTTTCCTAACTAAAACTTAAAAATATGTGGAGTACAGCAATGTGAGAAACCAACACATTGTATAGTATAGCGTAATCAAACATTTTCTAAGAAAAGAAAAGTGTCTTTATCAAAATGATGTTCGCCAGTCAGTCTGCGGAAGTTTGTTATAGGTTTACCACAGACATGAGACAAATATTTGTTTTTTATACATTTAGATGAGTTTCACGTAAACAGTTATTTTAGTATATCAATTGGTCTGTTACGCAATACTATCAATTGCAATCTCTTTAAATAGTCATGGCATTTATTTTCGCTTTTTTTAGAGCCAGACGATTCCTGGATTGCTATATCTAATGTTTGCCGGTTTTATGTTCTTATCGGCGTTCCTAGTTATTTTGTTACCAGAAACAAACAATACAGCTCTGAAGGACACAATTGACATTGATCCCAATAACTCTATATCGAAGAAAGTAAAAGATTCTTTTAATAAAACATTGCAAAAAGGTTATGAATATCTTAATTAGACAATACACAAATTGTTATTTCATTTGTTGCATAGAAATATTTGTTCTCAAGAAAGTGCATATTTTGTTTTAGATACATGTGTTCATAGTTTTTTACTTGTATTCTACATGTAACTCATGATTTACAGAGTTCAATAAAAGTTATAAGGATACGTTGTCAGAAATATCAGATACCACTCAGACCAACTCCAAATGAAATAGGAATCATTAATTGAAATAAATAGGCAATCCGCGATTTTACGGAAATATAAAGCAAGAAGTACACTCAGTCTGATAAAAAGCCTATAAAATTAAGGTGTTTGCAGATACATCCAAGTTAAACGGGAAGTGATATCAGAAGTCCTGCATCGTATAGCCGTTATACATATGTCATGATATTCAAGACCACAATAAGATATATTCGTGAACGTTATATATAGGGCGTAAAGAACATGCTCCAGTCTCGATGTGTATTGTTGTTATTTTCCAGTATATTGAGTATAACCTCGTGTTGATGGTATGTTATTTCATCATGATACTTATTTGAATCCACAGTTGGGGTTTTACATGTTTTAATTTTCAGATTATTGCGTCCAGCCTCTTTGAAGTCTTTTTCAATCCTACTTTTATTTTTCAAGTTTTCCAATAGAAATATAAAAAATTCCCTTTGAATTTCTGCTTGCTTGTATTTGTTTTGATCTAATAGTTATATGTATACCAGTTACGAAGGTTGCACCAATTCATATGCATTGAATACTTGACAAGGCCGATGAAAAGAATGCTATAGAATACATTCTTCTCGTCTTTATAAGTATGTCAGAACCCAGCGATAATAGGATTTTATCTATTTATCATAAAACTGTTTTTGTCATATATTGAATATTCATATACATTGATATATCAACTGAGACGATGCTGCATTAACGACTGCTTTTAATTTTCATTCATTCATTTCAAAACTATTATCGTCGAACAAAAATCGTTTGTTACAAATTAAAAGAGTAAGTTGCGACACTCAAAACAGAAAAAAAATCATAAACAAGAAGAGGTCAAAGAGATTTTCAGCATATATAAGTCAAAGATAAATAACAGTATATAAAAAACTAAAGAATGAGCAACACGTACCCCACCGGGGTTGATCGCAGGTGCTCTGGAAGAGTTATCAGATCCTGATTCACATGTGACATCCGTCGTGTTGTTTATGTAAATATAAATTCTGGTATAATTCTTATTCTGTGGGGTCACATTCTGTCGGAGTCTGACACTCTGTACCCCAATTTTTGACATTTTTACCTACAATGTCTGTTGGTTTTGCTCACACATTGTTGTCAATTTAATGGAATGCTATATGACTGTAATACAAGTGATAGATTTAGCTAGCTAAAAACCCAGGTTTAATCCACCATTTTCTACATAAGGAAATGCCTGTACCACGTCAGGAATATGACGGTTGTTTTCCATTCGTTTGATGTGTTTGAGCTTTTGATAGAAGACTTTCCGTTTTGAATTTTCCTTGGAGTTCGGTAGTTTTGCTATTTAATTTTTTTTTATGTATTATGTACTTTACACAAACATGCATATATGTCTTATTCAATAGGATCGATAACATATTTTGCAGATAAATGAAAAGAAAATAAGACAAATATTAAGGAAACACTAAATGACCAGAATATAAACTACTACATCTAAACCATTAAAGATCTAAAATGCTCCGTAATTACAACTTCAAAGGGATAACTACCGGTCAGTTTTTTTTTTGTAGTTTGATTGCTGTATTCTTGACATATTATTCATATCTCCTTTTAATCATATGGTAGACATTTGAAATTATAACCACACAATTAGCAGGAATGATTTCATTGACACACACTAATTTTGATCATTGAGAAGCTTGATTTCTCTTTACTAATAGTATGTGATTAAAACGATCAGCTGATTTTAAAAAAAATGAACTCCCTGTTAAGGTGTTATGTGCCCCTTAAATGGAATTTAAATATATTTTTACTGCGTGATAAATTGGTCAATTGATTGTTTCTTGCTTAACGTTAAGTTGAGAATATTTCATGCATATTCAAGACAGTGATGAATTAAGTCAAATGGTGTATTGTATCATCGTTGACTATTAATTTTATTATCAAATTATCATTCATGTACATAATTTGAATTTATACCGGATCAATTGATTGATTGATTTATTCGTGTATGACGCCGTTTTTGGTACTAGTGTGCTATTTCGTGGCTGCCAGTTTTAATTGGTGAATGCAGCCGGAATGCTAGGGGAGAACCACCGACCGTTGGTAGGAAAACTGACAATCGTAGTCAAGTAAGATTGGAGTCGATCTCACCTGCCACGTGCGGGGTTTGAACTCACAACCATATTGTCGACAGGCTACTGATACAGTAGTTCGACTACTTAGACCACTCAGCCACCGAGACCCCATTACAGGATCAAACAAAATAACTTATTACATATGATGTTTTCGATATAACACATATACACATGAACTAATCCAATGTAATGTTCAAGTCATTTTTGGTGGAAACGCCGACGTAAACTCCATATCAAGTCTTCTTTGAAATTGATAGAATGAAGACAGTAACACTAGGAAATATTTTCAACGTGACATTATTTAGTGGAGCTAGTTGTCAAATAATGGAATATGGATCAGCAGGTAAAGTTTTTTGTTTATGCAAAATTGGTAGTGGTTCGGTTTTTGCACCATTCTGTCGTTCTTTGCACAAGTTTTGATACCATTTGAATAAAAACCAAAAATGAGTTTAATCAATCACAAAAAACATGATAGCAAGTAATTTATAAAAGTTAGACACAAATGTAATAGATTCGTCAATCCGACAATTGATGAGCCCTGTAATGTCATTTTTTGTTCAAACAAAAGGTTCATTAATTTTTTGTATAATTTTTTTTTTATCAACGGCTGGTAATCAATTTTCAAGACTTCAGAATAGATTAAATCAAAATCAAATATAAAATTCGGGTTCTTGATAAAGAGAAAAGACATGTATCTATGTTAGCATTTTACATTAAATTACTAAAAAAAACATCAAATTGGAAATGTTTGTCATCAAATCAATCTCGATAAATGACTAGCTTACATTGTACTTCATGTTGTTTAATGATAACATATAATTGAATAAAATCTACAGGGGCCAGTAACACCACTGTAAATATACCAGACACCTGACGCGTCCGGACGCGTTCAAAACTTGTACACCGAATGTTCAATATCTTAACGTCATACGTTCATGCTTAGAGACATGTTCAAAATTTTAACGTTTGTGTTCAAAATATTAACACCTGTGTTCAGACGCAGTGAACACCGGTGTTCAAGTTCTGTTCTGTAAAATGAAGATAGTCGTTTGTCCGATTTTTCATCCTTCCAATTGGTAAATTCAAAAAGAAATTCTTTTAAAAATATGAATGTATACGCAGGATGTTGATCATGTGAATTTTTGGTTAATATTTTACACTAGTAACCCGAATTTAGCTTGAACGGCCAAAAAGGTATTAACGACATTTAAAAAAGATTGATTATCATAAGATAACGATTGACAAAAATTAAAAATTGTTTTTAATGCATTTCAATCCATATCAAATTATTTTAATACCAGTCAAATAGATTCCCTTTAAGTTAGTTTCAGAGAAGGTTAAGCTGTGTCAAACTAATTAGCCACGCCCCCGTTACACGAAATCAAACTGATGTTAAATCCTTTTAATCTTTAAAGTGACCGCCTTTTTGTAAGGTTAATCACTCAAGCAGAACAGCATCCCCGTTATCTATCGTTAATCCGTTACAAACGTTTTCGGTTTTAGTCACGCTACTGTAACAACAGCCCATGAAATGGCCGTGAAATGTCTGTGAAATATCACAGGACCGTGAAAACCCCGTGAAAATACCCCGTGACTTTTGTAAAAAAAAATTTCTAAAGGCCGTGAAAAATATTTGATGTTAGAAAAAGACCGTGAAATTTCAATATCCCGTGAAAAGGCCGTGATAATTTGTCCTTTCATGCTTAATAAAAAATATCACGGCCTTTTCACTGGTTGTTGAAACCAGTGAAAAGGCCGTGATATTTTTTCATGTCAATTTTTTCTTATCCTAATTCAGATTTAAAACATCCCATGTGATATATGTAATATGGTCTAATTATTTCCACTCACATTTTTCTAAATATCCTATAAACTTTTCATTATAAATATATGTCTGTTTAAATATTATTATATGCAATACTAATGTACAGGACTGACTTTTAAGTGGAACCATTCATTGTTATAATGAATGACTTTGTGCCAATAAATATTTTGCATTTAAAGAAAAGTATTTTGCTTCTCGTCTGTACATTATTATAAACAATGTAAACATTAATTTTAATTGGAACCGAAACATGTAAAACCGAGAACTTCCCGGAATATCAGACCGTATCCGGATTCGTGTTTCTTTTAGAGTAATTATAACATTTCCGCAAGTCAGGTTGGAAATTTGAAAGACGCCGAAGGTCGATTAATATTTACTTTATAGATGCAAGACGAGTGACAGCAAGTTTGAGGTAAGTTAAGTTATTAATATTTTATTATTTTATGCATCATATCACCAAAATGTTGATGACGTTTGTGAGCATTTTCACTGAACTGATTTTCACTGAATTTGCAGAAACCGCGCAAACATGCATGTGATATATTCACTTATATTTGAGTCTGTTGCACTTGATTCCTTTAATCATATCGGTTAATATTTTCTAAGAATTACCGGATCCTTTAAATACGATTACGGTTTTGTTTTGTTGATGTATTTGGGGAAAAAGGGGGGGTCCGTTTTCCCCATACTGGCCACATAAAAAAATGACATTTATGTACAGTACACTACGTAGACATAGACATAGATAATTGGAAATGATTATAATAGCAATAAGTATCTCTGAAATGGAGTTCACTCTGATAATCAGAGGCGTAACTCCCTTTGAATGTGTCGGGAGCTATTTAAGTATTTTGTGACTTGGCCGTCAGGACACAGAGTTCAAAAGGGATTAATCAGAGGCGTAGCAGGGAAAATATTTAATATTTGTACGGCAAAATGTCCTTTCTAGAAGGGTTTGTGCCATATCATAAGAATAATTGGTATGGCAATGAGGTGTTTAAAAAATAATTGGTATGG